CACATATTGTTGGACCTTCCGGTCCGGTCTAAATAACTCATAGCATAATATCACATACACAAGATGCATAACACAAATAAGCACATAAGACCTTCCGGTCACACATAAATACCACTTTAGGTAACGTATAGTCAGAAGACTCACCTCGGAAGATGAACAGCTCCTCAAGACGCTGCTGCTATGCACCAGTCACTAACTCTGTGCCAACCCTACAAATATCCCAATTAGGAACTAAGTCCAAACTCTCACTTGTTAGGTCTGGAGGTAGTCCACTGACCAGCCCATCAATAACCTGAAACTCATTGGGCCCACCAAGGCCCAATAATAAATAGGTTCTCCCGAGGCCCAACTCCCAACCCAATGACAAGTCCAACTCAAGGACCCAAGGCTAAATATAATATTTCTCTGCTCAATTCTCTAATACCTTAGTCCAAATGTCCAGGCCCAATACAATATTCAGCTCAAAAGTCCACAGTGGGGTTATGCGGGGCGTATCCCCTTTGGTACGCTCAACGTACACACTCATGTATGAAACTGATCGGGGCACCAGCCCAGTACGCAGGGCGTACTAGGATTTACGCTGGGCGTACACCCAGTTTTGGTTAGTCCTTTTTCTTGGTCTTAACCCGTTAAGACCTTAACTCATCTCTTGGATCTAGCCTCCCTAATAGCCCTTACTCCATAAAGTCAGGGACTTTAACCCCTTGCATGGCTGATGTGGTCTCAAACACACAAAACACTCATTCCCTTTTCTCATTAAGCTCTTATCTCATGCATGACTTGATTCTAACATCCAAGACCTCATTTTATGAAACCACTCCATCAAAAACACTCAAAAGGACAAATAATGGGCTCTGGAGTTTAGCAACTCATAAAGCTTCAAGCTTTGGGACAAAAAACCTTAAAATGGACCATACTATGCACAAATCAAAAGGAATATGAAAACTCTGAGCTTTATACCTTCAAATGATGCTCCAACCACAGAAAAGCTAAGATTCAAAGCCTGGACTCCAACTCCATACTCTTTCATGCTCCTTCTTCACTCCAAAAGTCCCACAAGAACACTTATAAGCTCATAATTGTCACACACAAACTCAAGAACGAGGATTAGGGTTTGAGAGGGTTTATTGACCGAGGATGATGGCTGGGAATGAGGCCATCTCATTCTTTATATAGGGACACTCCTCAAAATAGGGTTTTCCTTTAGTGCCTAGTACGCCCAGCGTACCATCTGGTACCCCCAGCGTACTAGGTGGCTCCGCTTGAAGATCCCACACATGAGTACGCCAAGCGTACACACATGTACGCCCAACGTACTCCGCTGAGACCTTTTCCAATTGAAGGACTTATCCTGCCATATCTTCAGACTTCCATTGCCTCCTTGCTATAACTCTGCTTCCAATGGATCTCATATCCTCGGACAAGTGTCAAGATGCTCTATGCTTCCAGCAACTCGTTGCAACCCCGTGACTTTATCATGCCCGGGTTGCAGCCCACAAACCCTAATTCTCAGACGATCCGAAACAGGATGTCACAATAACAAAATATACAAGGATTAAATTTAATCATACTACACATAATAGTTAAGGCACTAAGCTAAATCAATAAAACAATAAAAGTAAAGTACATTGTCCTTTTCTGTACCTTGAAGGAGAAATTACTAAAAGAGTAGTTGACACACGATTGTGATCTAACTTCTGCATGACCTCCATACTCATCAACCTGCTGACACATGGCAGTCGCACCGCATGAATAACAAATCACAAGCAAAAATGGTGGATTTTATTTTTGAGTATGAGTGATGCAAATTCATCAGGAACATCTTCTTATAAATATTAATCAAGAGTATAAAAATGGTTATAAATGTTGGGTGTCTGTGTAAATTTATCAGAAAAAAAGAGCTTATTTGAAGAGACCAAATTTTCACCTTGATCGCATGGCCGATATATCGGACAACCACCAATTGAAACTTTCCATGCATTTGTCCTATTATGAGAGCCCTGGTACAGAAAATAGTATAAGCAAATGGCATTATCACGATCTAGTAAGTTGTATATGAAACAAATTTATCACACTAAGGCTAATAAATTTTATAATTATGATATCTAATCATAATTATAAAACCAATCTCAGTACAAAAACAATTCACATGCATATACAAAACACACACATACCTTTTGTAGTGCAAGTGTATGCCAATTGATATCCCTGAAAAATTGATGATGTTTCACCTCGGTTGCTCCCCTAGCTCCAAGTCTCTGGTTTGGATCTTCTGCCAATATTCTTAAAATCATTTTTTTTTATCAAAAATAGAGTATGTAGGGCATTTTCATCAAAAACTCTTAAAATCACTATTCTTTAACCAAATAAACAGTATGCAGGGGCAGTTTGGTAAAAACTATTAAATTCATTATTTTTTTATCAAAAAAAAAAACAAACAGTATGCAGGGGCAATTTCGTCAAAAACTCTTAAAATCACTATTTTTAAACAAAAAAATAGAATGTAGGGGCAGTTTGGTCAAAACTATTAAAATCATAACTTTTTTTAATCAAACAAACAGTATGCAAGGGCATTTTGGAGAAAAACTTTTAAAATCACTATTTCTTTTTTACTAAAAAAACAGTATGTAGTGCAGTTTGGACAAAAAATTGTTAAAAAAAAAGATATGAAACAGAGTTTTTATAATGTTTCAGGTAACAAGAAAGTTTTGTTTTTGACACCAACAAAATTGTAGAATCAAAAGGTTAAAAAAGACATTAAGGGTAAAACCGTAAAAGACATGAAAGGAGGAAAAATTGCAATTTTTCAACAAACCTGCTCTAAGTTAATTTTGTATAGATTTGGAGATGAGGCTGAACATATTAAGTCACATGACAAGTTATCATATATAATATCCCTCCCCGTCTTGCTCATAAAAGAAAAGACCAACGTCAGATATATAATGATATATTAATTAAGAATAAGTTAAGTACACATAATCTCATACATGTTATCACGAAAATGAATAAAAGGATCGAATCAGAATGGAGAAAACCAGATCAACTGCAATCTACCACCAACCATTGGTTGACACAAACTGAATTCTAGTAAACATTTTAACGTTCATAACAATTAATAAATGGAGAAGTTAATTACACTGCATTTAGTCTTCAAACTGACCAGGTGATTGAGTCTTCAACATCATCACATATGGTGCTCTGAATAAACAAGAAAACATTTTAAGAAATAAAATATGAAGTTACCTGTGTAGGAAGCCAACTATATATACGGAGAAACCGACAGTTGTGGATGAAGTGGATTTGCTGATGAACGATGAAAACATGAACACAAAACCAATCTGGCAGCAAAAGTTAGAAAATGTTAATCCACCAACATATGGAATGGGATTAATTTTTATATAACTTGGAAAAAGATTTTTTTTACCATGTTTAATTGGAAGAGAAAGAACACAAGAAACATAACAAAGCTGTTGTTCAAGAAGAAATCAAACCGAAACATCATTCCAAAGAGAACTATGAAAAGAGATGAAAAGAAAAAATATATTTTTTTTAAATTAAAATGATACATTAACAACTTCGCATTCTCCACGTGATCAAAGAATTAGCAGTTGTTCAATGCTGAATGCACAATTACAAAAGAACTAGCTTAGCAACCTACCAAAAAAAAAACAAAAAAAACACAGCAAGACAAACAGATATTCATGCTCAAATACCAAAAATATCCATCAGCATTAACATCCAATCCAAAACTAATAGATATATATTATTGCTTACCTTTATCACCAACAAAATTGCAAAAATGGTGATTAACAGGTAAGCAATAGCTCCTCTATATGACTCACCAAATATTTGGTAAACAAGAAGCAAGATCATAAGCTCGATTCCTTTCACGAAATGACTACGGGAATAAAGCTGATAGTTTTCAGCAAATTTCGAGTGAAAGACAACAAACCCATGACCTGTTGCCCTGTCTTTGCACCTCCATGATGCAGTGTTCTACCATAGTAGTGATTTTTTGTTCCAAGTGAGAAGGTGAAGAAAACAGGGGCAAGTTGTAGTTGCATGAGAATGAATTCACTTAATGCAAGGAGAAGGTTTTTTTGGGTGATGATTCCCTCCCATGTGAGCCATGATAACCATTAAGCCATGTCATAAAGTCCCATCATAGCAATCGCCTGTAAGGAAAACAAACATTACAAATTTTGAGATATGACTTGGAATATGTAAACATACATTTAGCATAAAAAAAGAAAAAATTCTTAGCACCTGGGGAAGCATGAGTTCTTTCTCGACTATCAAAGAACTAATCTGCAACATAAAACCAAACATGGTAATTGCCATGAAAAAACTTGGTCCTGCTGTGCCGACAGAAGAGTATTTTTCAACTACCGGATGAGCAAATTCCTTCAAACTGACAATCCAACTGAAACTAGGATCTGCCACACATTGAAACGGAGTAGATATGACAGTCCATAAGTAGAAAAAATGTAATAAAGGAAGTGATCATATGCATATTCTATACCTCCTATTAATGACCTTGCAATTTCGCGTTCAGCAACAATTTGGAGTGGTATTTCGAATTTGAATGTTGGATCTTCATAAAATATTCAACCCTAAATAAATGCAAGATCACATACGCTGGTATTGTTAAACATCGATAGCACAAAGTTCTGTCAAGAACTGTGTTAACATTTGATTTGAGAGAATCGTTTAAGCAATTGAACACTAAATAAATGCAAGCCTACATGGGTTTACAAAAAAGGATTAAAATACCTGGAAAAAAATACAGAGCATAAGAAGGAAACAACCAAGAATGCTTGCTCTCCAATGCCATCGTCTTCTTCCGTTGTCGCATAATGCTATTAGGATTTCATCTGCGATTTATTCTTGAACAACTTCTACATCCTTCAATTTCTTCAAATCGAAGTTGTTAGGTGAGGGCTATGAGGCAAGAAGAGGCGGTGAGGGTTGGAGACGGTGGAGATGGGTGAGGGGCGGAGATGAATGAGGGGAGATGTGAGAGAACCGATGGAAAAAAGGTAGAGGAGAAGCTCATGAGTAGTTGTAGTAGGTGGAGTAACGTAGAGGGGAAGCGGAGTCGGGACACAGTCGCCGGTGCCGATGAGTCTCAATGGTCAGTGATGAGAGGTGAGCTTGTGGTCGCCAACGAGGTGAGGTGAGACAGAGCAAGGTAAGGAGAGGCTAATCAGGTCGTCGATTACAAAAGTGCCCGTGTAGAAGGGGTGGTGCGTAGAATCCTGCATATGAAGGTGCTGAAGAAGGTAGATGGCAGAGGAAGGCAGTGAATAAGATGCGATGTTGGCGGAGGATCGACGATGGCAGAGGGTCGACGACCAGGAAAGAGCACATAGTGGTGGCCGGAGTGCGAGGGGAGTAGTTGGCGGTCGATGTGGGGAGGGGAAAGAAGTATCACCGATTATGTTTGTGGGGAGAAAGAAAGATGCGTCAAAAAACGCTTAGGGCAAACAAGGAAGTGAAAGCAGGCTTTTCTAATTTTTGGGTTTTTCTTTTTCCCGCTTGTTTCTAAAGAGCGTGTTTCATTAAAAATTATAAAACGACATTTTAGATGACACACATTTTATAATAAGTGCCCTCCGTTTTTTTTTCTAACACTAATTTTAGGGCACGCAAAAATGCGTGTCCTAAATCCTTAAAATTTCTAGAGAGCTGACATTATTTTTAGGTCATACACCTTTGCGTATCATTAATAAATGCATATTATAAATCGCGTGTCATTAAAGGCCTGCTTTCTAGTAGTGTTGGTTGTTATCTTTTCCTTTTTTTCTTGTTCATGGCTTGTATTTATACTCAGATTTCGTTTAGCGAAAGTAAGATTTCTGATTACCAAATTCTTCGTTTTTGCTAAAAAAAACATGGTAAAAGCGAGGCTTCTGCCACCAAATTTGATTTCGAAACATTCTAGATAGAATGACATCAGCTAAACCAGGCCCGGTCCTTTTTGCTTTTTAGAAAGCTGAAAACCTTAGCATCAACAATCTTAATGAACATTTATTACAAAAAATTAACAACTCTTTGTGACATTTATCCCCTTCTCCATTACATCTAACAGGTCATCTTCTTTCTTAATGTGTAGCTGTTCATTTGCCTCTAATTCCTTTGGCTTTTGAGAAAGACTACCAGTGAAAATAGGATTCTTAGAAGAGCCTATATGAATCCTCCTATTGTTATCAATGTAAGTAGGTCTGGTCAACTGTCTTTCCCCCAATGATTGTCCATCTTGAAGCATCAATACAACGTCACACATGGTGGGTCTATTAGAAGCTGGTGAGTGGGTGCATAACAAAGCAATCTCAATAATCTTCATCACATGTTCTTCTTCACATTGTTTCAAATCCAATGTCTTATCAACTAACCTCATATGCTCTTTATTCTCAAACAACTTCCATGACTGTCACCAATTGCAACAAAACAATTTAAGAGCTCAAAATAATTCTTGAAAATGGCAACTCTGAGATTCTTCTTTGTACTATTTCTTTTTATGTTGACAAAATATAAAAGATAAAGGATATTAATTTTCTATCTCACATGTTCAATGAGGTAATCAGTAGATGGTCCATCAACATTTATGTCAGTACACCGTCGACAACTTATAATTTCAAGCATCACGATACCAAGGCTGAATGTGTCAACTTTATCTGATAAAAGACCATGACGTGCATATTCTGGTGCTGCGTAGCCCCTATTATTTAACACATAGTAAAAATAGAAGAATCAGTTTAGATGCATTTTAAAGAAAGAAGGACATGTGTCTTGTAAATTAAACGTACAATGTCCCTGCAAACTCTGTGACAACATGACTTTGATCTTCCGGTTGAAACTTTGCCAACCCAAAATCTGCTATTTTAGGTTGAAAATGTTCATCAAGGAGAATGTTGTTTGATTTTATATCTCTATGAATGATTTTCACATGACATTCATTGTGTAGATGAGCGAGACCCCTAGCTATTCCTAAGATAATGTCAAATCGTTGTTTCCAGTTTAGTGACCCCCTTTTTGAACCTACAATGAACATATTAATTTATAAGTATAGAAACTGTGTAGAGATCAAATTTTCATGTGAATTTTCATATTTAACACTAAAGTACCCCATAGGAAGCTGTCAAGGCTGCCATTCGGCATGTATTCAAGGACAAGTAGTAGATTTGATCCTTCACTGGACCATCCTAGGAGACGAAGAAGATTTCGATGATGGATTTGGCTTATAAGCAAGACTTCATTTTCAAATTCTACTTTTGCTTTAGCACCACCAACTTCAAGTTTCTTTACTGCCAAAACTTGATTATTATCATGAATTGCCTGTTAAATTAACCATACAAAAACTATTAGTCATAAGATTAATTAATTATGTTTCAATGCACTTACTTGAGTAATGTTGAAATTATAGTCCCCTTTATCTAAATATGAATTTAAGATGAGCGATAAATAAGCATATGCCGTTCAAAAAAAGGCTTCATGTATCAAAAAGGTACGAAATTAAATCATGTGTTTTATTTTACTATGTTTATCTTCTTTTTGGAATTTTATTCTATTCCACAATCCATATAAGTGGCTCTAGTTCGTTACCTTGAATACTTCACCAAATCCCCCTCTTCCAATACTATTCTCTTCACTGAAATTATTGGTTGCCAACTGTAGATGTTTATAATTGTAGTTAACTGCCCCCTTTAATTCTGGTGCATCTAATTTCACACATGATCCAGGTAGAAACAATCAGATGTTATCCGTAACATGAAATTAAATTTAATATCTTTCTAAAAAACTATATTTTGGGATGTGTATAGTATTTAATATATCTCACACTATGAAAGCCTAGTGAGCTTCATGTTAGGAAATTCTTTAGACAGGATCAGTCAGATACTAGTACCTCATTCACATAATCATATACAATTACCTTCTTTATTTTTCTTCAACTTCTTCCATCGACAATAAAATAACCCAGAAGCAAGAAGAAGGAAACAGACAACACCACCAAGTGATCCAACAATTACGGGTACCTTACTTGAATTCCCTATCAATTAAAAGAAATAGAAGTGTTATAAACACAATAAACGTACTCTAAAACTATTTACGGATATGAAGATTATCAGTTGTAAGTTTCAGGTAATTATAATTGATCAGTGGCTCTCACCTTTTAAGAAATTTGTGATATCTATTGTTTGATTATCACTGAAAAATGGAGTATCTGAATATCGTGCAAAACACCCCGTGTCAGCAAACCTTCCTTCTCTATTAGGAAGACAGCTATATAGATTACTATATGCTGTATTCAAGCAATTTTGACAAATGGCCTGGCTTGTATTTTCAACACACTGTGCAATCGCATAAACTGTTGTATTTTCACTTGAGACTTGCCTTGTGGATGCGACATACCAATTAGGGGCTTTCGGAGTAGCAACTCTAATATCTGATAATAACGCATCTACATCTTGACTAAAAGTTGATGTTACAGATGCTGATTGATTCCCGCATATTTGAAGTGGAAGGATGGTGACCTGATCGGCGGCGACATATGGGTTATCGTAATAATCAGGGTAGTCCTCATACCTTAACAACAAAGGAATCATAATTTTTTAGAACCACCTTTGCGACGTAAGTTAAGATTTATAAAATGATCATTTAGTGATATAAAAAAGTACTAATTAATTAAATTATAGGCCCTCCATTTACAATCCTTAACCTTTTTGTTCAAATATACTGGTTAGGATTGCTGTTTCTGGTTCACTTAGAATTTCCGCAACAAAACAGTTTATCGAAACCCTAATTCGAAAACGGAAGAGCTGTTTGATTCCACTGTTTTTCACTCGTTTATGTGGATAGAAAATAGAAATCTTATAGCTAAAATCTTAATTAGGTTGACCGGGTTAATTAAATACCCAATTTTTGCCATTGAATCTATGTAATTGTTTTACAGCTCTAGTTTCTTGCTAGAGGCTGTTTTCTAATGAATGTTTGTTGTTGCTGTTCAAAAAAAAAAAGATCAGGATAATATCTCATACTACTTATTTAATTCAACAAACAATGGTGTTGATAGTGATTTAAAAGCATCCTCGACATATAGTAGTTATATCTTTTGGGAAAATACTTAAGAGAGGTCCCAAGAACAAACATGGGCATTCCTCATTTCCTCTTCCTTGCTGGGAGGACATTATGGCTACCTTCCAATGTAGTTGATTGTGGCACCCATAACGCGTTATAGGGAACGTCAAGTGGTTACCCTTTTGATAATGAATTAAAAGTTCTAATGATATAACAATGCGTGATGTAGGGGGGTACACAAACTTGTGGGATAAAGAACATGGTTTTGAGAGACGTTAAAATAAGATACAAATTAGATGTACATTATAAACAAATTGCAATCACGACAAAAATAATATGATGCCACCCCAAGGTACGTAGTTGGTTGTTATTTGTTATGGTCCTCGCTGGAGGTCTTGGCTGCCAATCACCATCCACATCAGGTGATCAAATACGAATAGTCTTATCCCGTTTTTCTATTCATCTTAGAGCAAGTAGTAATATAGTACTAAATTATCAGGTCACAGCCAGACACATAAGACAACACACGAATATTTTTAATGGATGAGTTTTCCGAGCTAACAAAAATTAATTGAATAGTTGATAATTACAAGACTAATATATAATAATTTATAGCAAATATATTTCGGAAAGAAAAATCTAAAAATGTATTCGTTGATTTCAACCTTATAGCCATCAAATCAATACCAGCATACTGTACGTATCATTCTTTTTAACATGTGTGGATGCTAACCAACTTGCAGCACACAGGATTATATAGTCTTATGGAAAGATACATTGTCTTTACGCAAATACCAACTTTAAAAAAGAAACGGTAAAAGGGGCCCACATGCTCCGAGGCTCATTTGGTACGTAACAGGTCAATATTTTCGGTTTGTCGGGATATGAAACGATTTGGTGATTCTACTGACATTGGCATGCGTTTGATAAATGAAGCATTCAATGGTGAATAAAGAATGTTTAATTACCTGAGAAAGCAGTTATCCGAAAAAACATAAGCAGCATTGACAGTGGTGCAGGGGAGGAGTTCAGACACGCCAGAATCAAAACAGGCAACACACTGAGCTGTGGAGAGGTAACGCCTGCAGTGGGCGTCTCCAAAAACTGGGTCACCATCACTTAAACTCTGTGCCCTAGCATAAAATACACCATTGTATGATAATTGGTTTCTGATTTGAGTAAGGCTAGAGTTGCGGTTGTTGATGAAATTTGAGAGAGTTACCGGAGCATTAATACCGCAGAACGATCTGATGGGTGTGTTGCCAATATTTTCATCGCTATTAAACTGTGAAATTCCTGGCTCGATCAACAATAATACAAGCAACATAACCACAACGGCCATCAGGCGCCTTGGGAACGTACTAATAGAAGAAGAAAGATAAAAAGGAAAGAAGAGGTCGAAGGTGGCGCATATATAACTTGTACGGATTAAGTTATCATAGCATGCTTCCAATAGCATCCTTCCAAGTTTATGTTCAATTGGTAAATATCAAATCCACTTGCTTACACAAAGAAAGCATGCCATATATGCTGTTATTGAAAAAAGTCAAAAAGATGACGTGTTTAATCAAGTTGTGTGGTTTGTTCATATCTGTTAGAAAATAAACAATTATTCACATCTCTTTCAAAATAAACAATTATCAACTATATTTTTCCAAAGATATTAGGTTTAATCCAAGAGTTATTCATTAAAATGACCATATCTCAAGATGATATACCGATATATCTTCACAAGACCACATGTTGAGAAGGAATGCTACTTGTTGCATTGTTGTATCTTGGGAACTATTGCCACAACCCATAGCATATTGTTCCAAAGAACATAAAACAAATGTATTGCGACATTGTAAAACTAGATCGTTTTGATGGTGGAACTTTCAAGATATGGCAATGGAAAATGCAATTCCTATTGTCAACACTAAAAGTCTATTTTGTTCTTATTAACCAAATCCCAATGATGATGAAACTATTATTGCAACATGTGATCGACTCAAATATGAAAATAGTGATTTCATATGTCGTGGTCATATACTATATGATGTGTCAGCTCCGGTTTTTTTTGTCTACTAAAACAATGAGACAAAAAAAAAATAGAAGAAATACGGGATGCTCTTGAAGAAAAATACACTACAAGAATAATCACCATTAGCGGCGACATACGATTTTTGCGTTGTATGTCGCCGCTAAAGGTGTCGCCGCTAATAGTGATAAACCCTGATCCGTGTCAAACCCCAGTAATAAACCCCAACTGTTGATTTGTTCCTAATCTAACAGCTCACAATAGATGTCGTACATAGCAATAGCAACGACGCCTTTTGCAGCGATGGCTGTCGCCGCTGATACTAAAAAAAAAACGCGATAAATTCCCTCTAAAACTCATCGTTGCTAATTCGCTTATGTCGCCGCTGATACAACTTTGAGGCCGCTAATACCGGTCGCCGGTAAAGGCTTGACAGAATATACACACCACACAACTAATTTCCTTTCCTCTTCTGCCTTCGTTTCTCTCTGACGATTCCACCGGCGAATACCAACACAACCCGTCAATTTCATTGGCTCTTACTCCAATTCCGTCAATTCCATCGACAGTTCATATCACCGACAATGAAGAATCGTAATACTGGCGACAGGGAAGTAGAACCGGCGACCACAGGTGGGTTTTCGTCTCCTTTTCCATTGATTTTGTTTTCATTTTCTTCTCCCACTAAGAGTCGGATTGTTGCGGCCCTTATAGATTATTGCAACCTTTAGCAGTTTTTTCTTGTTTTCTACCAGAATTTGCCCGGAAAGAACCCAGAAAGCTGCCAGAATACCGCCACATCACCCTTCACCGCCGGATTACACAACCAGGTTCCTTTATAACATATGTATATGTGTATTTGTAATATGTGTATGTATATATGTATTGGTATGTGTTTTTGTAAGTATGTATAATGCATGTATATGTGTAATGTATGTATAAATGTATGTTTTTATGGTGAAAACAAAAAAGTACGTATGTTTATATATGTGTATTTGTTTGCCATATGTGTATTTATATTTGTATGTATAAGTGTATATGTTTATATATGTATATTTGTTTGCCATTTGTGATTGTAATGTATGTATAAGCGTATTTTAATATGTTGATTTTTATATATAAATGTGTATTATGTATAAGTGTATATGCTTATATATGTATACGTGTATGTATATGTATGATCACTTAACTATTAAGGGATTATTTGGAAAGTACAATGCTATAATGGAAAAAATGGAAAAAAAATAGTATGTGTATTTGTATGCAATTTGGGAAGTACAATGCTATAATGTAATATCTGTACTTGTATGTATATTTATGTATGTATTGTATGCAATTTGGAAACTACGATGCTATAATGAAAAAATGAAAAAAAAAACAAAGTAGGATGCTATAATGGAATGTGTATTATTTTTGTATATGCGTAATTGTATGTATAGAAATTATGTATGTAGTTTGTGTGTTTGTATGCAATTTGGCTGCCATAATGATATAGATGAAAAAAAATGAAAAACACAAAGTAGGATGCTATAATGGAAAGTATTATTTTTTTTAGGTGGATTTGTATGTATAGAAAATTATATATGTAATTTGTGTATTTGTATGCAATTTGTACATCTTGTAATTTGTAGGCTATATATGGGGTTTAGTTGGGTGATACTCTTCTACATGATGACGAATGTTATGGGCATAGGACATGGAAGTGATGGAGCTGGGGATCCACCGCCACTAGTAGGCTTTGGTCGTGGACAACACGAACATGATGGTAAGTCTTATAATGATATATTTATTAGCTATTTTTATTCATTTATTATAAGCAATCATGACTAATATTTTTAATTATATTTTTCAGCCGAGCTTCCTAAAAAAAGAAGAGGTCTATCAAAAAACATCTAGCTATCATAGCTGATACGGGCAAGTAAGGGAAAGCCGGTGGATTTGGAGTTTGATAGGGAGCTCACATATTCCTCTGTCGGGAAGCGTGGTAATTGGTTTACCCATGAGATTGGGAGGTATATGTGGATGAACATCCCTTTGAGTGTATCTGGTTGAGACAATGTTTCCCCCGATTTAAGGAATGGCACAGTTGTGCATCTAAAGGTAACATGGATAATATTTTAAGTTTAGTTGTGATTGGTATTTAATTAACTAACTTTTTTGTATTTGTAGAATGAGTTTGATTTAGATAAGGTTAACTTGGATCCCAAGTGTTCTTAGTTGTTGCGGAACATTGATGCGACTCTACAAAAAATTTATAGATGCTGTAAAAATAAAGCGCATACTTATTTTCAGAATGTTAGGGGGCATGCGGATATCCCAAGGGAATTAGCCAACCCCCATCTTATGTCACGTGAAAATTGGGCGCAAGCAATCGAACATTTTCAAACGCCCAAATTTTTAAGCGCTCGACGTCAAACAAAGGAGTCCGTGCCCAACAACAAGTTGTAAACAGAAGGGGGATCGTGCTCGTATAACAATGCTTGTTTCAAAGAAGTAAGTTATGATATATTTAAATGTTTATTTAAATTATTATTAATCTAATATTTAATTTTAAATAGGACATCACTCGAATTGACACATTTCGTAAGGCTAATACTGATCCTTAAAGGGGTATTTAGTAGTACTGAAATCGAGCAACAATACGTAATGTAACACTGTAAATTCTCAAACAAATTTTTCAATTTAAAAATCGCATAATTCTCATAACATAGTTCACAAAACCCTCAAATGATAATGTTTTCAAGAACACATATTTAGAAAATGTTTTATACACAATCCACGATCCTCAAAATGTAACTCCGCCTTGTGTGTACAATCAAGCCGGCGTCTTCCCGTGATCCTGAGAAGTACCTGAAACACATAACACATAACACGGTAAGCACGAAGCTTAGTGAGTTCCCCAAAATACAAAACATAAATTATTAGCTACTCATGGCTATACTCAAATAAGACCCTCCGATCAATGTGTCTCAGTGGAACCCTCCGGTCCCACAACTCGGGTGGACCCTCCGGTCCTTAACTAAGCTCAGAATAATACACATCATAAATCACAAAGACATAATGCAGGATATCACAATAATCAATATAAGCACATAAGACCCTCCGGTCACACAAATTACCACTCAAGGTAAGTATAGTTAGAAGACTAACCTCGTAAGAAATCGGATAACCTCGAACTCAAATCACCGGTCTAGCCTCCGCCTAACACATACAATAATTATCTCTAATTAATAACGACTCTCAAAGAAGCTAGACTAAACCCTTCTACAAACTCACAGAAGGATAAAAGTCTATTTTACCCTTCCATGGCCCTAATAGTCCACAAATTGACCAAACCCTAAAAGTTAACTAAAAGTCAATGGCAGCGCGTACGCCACGCGTACAAGCCCTCTACACTGGGCATACTCCTTCGCTATGCACGCATTGGGGATTCTAGACCCTACGCTGCGCGTACTGGGATTACGCTTAGCGTACGTCCCAGTTTTGTTCCTCCTACTCATTTGGTCTTAATCCGTTAAGACCTTAGCTCAAATCTGAGATCTGGACTCCCTAAAGGCTCATACTCCATAAAGTCTGTGACTTTAAGCCTTTGCATGGCTAAAAAAGTCACAAACACCAAAACTCTCACTCTCTATTCTAAAAAATGCTCATATCTCATGCATGGGGTGGTTTTGACATCCAAGACTCCATTTTTATGAAACCACTCCATTAAAACACTCAAAGGCACAAATATTAGGCTTTGGAGTTTCAACAACTCATAAAGCTTCAAGCTTTGGGACCAAAAACCCTGAAATGGACCACATAAAGCACAAATCAAAAGGATGAGAAAGCTTTGAGCTTTATACCTCTAACTGAAGCTCAAACCACAGATAAGCTCAAATCCAAAGCCTGGACTCCTACTCCTTCCTTTTCAAAGCTCCTTCTCTGCTCCAAAGAAACCACAAGAACACTTAACAGCTCACAAATGGACACACAAGCTCAAGGGACGAGAAATTAGAGTTTGAGAGGGTTGGGGTCTAGGAATAGTGGCCAGAAATGAGGCCAACATGTTCTTTATATAGGGACACACCCTTAATTAGGGTTTTCACTATGGGCCTAGTACGCCCAGCTTACTAAGTGGCTTCCGGGTCAAAAACACGCATTTGAGTACGTTGAGCGTACACACACGTACGCCCCGCGTACTCACTTACCACCATTTCTCTAATAAAGGGCAAAACTTGACAATTACCAAAAGAACAAGGGTTCATGAGGTATACCTGATTTAGGGATGTTACAATTCTCCCCGACTAGAATCAGACTTCGCCCTCGAAGTCATCTTCTAG